AAAGATATGTCTATAGTCAAGCTAAATCATACCTTAAATTCCAAACATTTCATCACATTTAAGGGCAAGTTTAGAACCATGCAAGAAAAAAAATGTTTCAAGGTAAATTTTTACTTTCATTGGTATGTGTTTAATTTATTAAAAAAATAACTCTCAACATTCTTCTCATATTTGTATCTAATAATCAGAAAGCAGTAAAAAGCAATGTTATGCAAAAAAGCCTTAACACTAGTTAAATTATGATATGCAGCGTGGGTGTGTGCAAGGCTTATTTGAATATACCATACGTATTCTATGACAGGCAATCTGTCCCTAAATGGATGCCTGGGGGCAATGCAGTCACCACAGTCGTTTATGAGGGAGCATGTGTTCATATGTGGGTGGCTAAGAATGTGTGGGTGCACACAGAGATTAATGAAAACATACTACTATATTTGTGTTAGGGCAGGTGTTTGTGTCCAACACTTGTACTGCACCTGACCCACCCACTTTAATGGAGTTGTAGATACTGGTATCTTTTTTTTCCATGGGTCATTTTTAATAACTATTCAATGACGATAAATGTCTGTGTTTGGAGAAATCTATACACACAGCTTAGTTTATATGTGGTAAATATCTAGACTGATGCTTAAACACCCAATCCCACTTTAAAAGATTAGAAATATAATTTCTAATCTTTGTTTGTGTATAACAAAGTTGGTACAAAGTTTGTGTATAACTTTAAAAAGTTATACACAACTTGTTCCATTTTAGGAACAGGATTTCTTATTAAAAACAAAATACAAAACAAAAGTTCTGACGTAATAGCTTACTGTAAAAGACGGAGGGTAAATAAAAGAAACAGTTAAAATGTAAAAAAAAATGTGTGTTAAATGAAGTTATATAAAAATAAAACAGCGTATTTTGTCTAAAGTTGCCCCAGTAAACGTGTGTGTGTTTGCATATGTGTTTTCAGTAACTTGGCCATGCTTTTTATCAGGAGCCAGCTGGTTAACAGGCTCATGCATCACCATTTCAAACACTATTATGAACACACTGCACTCTGGCACCTTGTTATGAGTGTACACAGTTTTCAGTATGTGTGTATCGAAGTTTATGCGCACACATTTCAATCCTATCCTTCTGAAGCGTGCCTGCCATTGCTCCACACAAAGTATCAGCTTGGCGGTAATAAATTGCCATAATCAAATTTCATTTCTGAAAAATACCTGTGGGAGCACCCAAACAAACAAGGAAAGAAAAAAAAAGGGAGCTGTAAGAAGAAGTGTGAAGAAATACAAGGAGCTGCAGCAGTTTGTTTTAATCAACTTGGCACTGAATTAGAGAATTAAATACCAAGTAAGCCCTTGATGGCATATTTGTGCACATACATGTGCATGTACAAACACAAACATTTTTATGTTCAAACACTTGAACATGCAACACAGAGTAAGAGAAAAATAAATAAACTCCAACACACCCATCTCTTACAAAAACACACCAACAATGCATGTGCACAGACTCACACGCACAACAGGGGCCCTTGATAGCGAGGCTTAGCAATAAGCATGATGCGGTGAGTTGAAAACCGATGGCCAATTTTGCATTTCATACGAGCCTGGTCTTCAAAGACACACAGGGGATGGAGTGAAACCATTTATCAAGAAGAGAGGCACAACGGCTGAAAGCAGCGCTAGTAGAAAAGCCTGTTTATTTTTGGCTACCTAAACACTTAGGGGTGTGAGTGTTCATCAGTGTGTATGGATATGCATACTTGTTTTTTATAATGAGTATCTAGTGTATATTTTTTTGTATTTGAGCAGGTCAGTAAAAACCCATATGTATCAATTAAGGGAAAACTTGTTGGACAACTAAGGAGAGTAATAGAGAAATTTACTATTGTTTTGAGCACACCAGTAAAACTCATTGGCACTAAAAGATGTTACTGCTCAAGTTTACATAGGAGATTCAGTGATAAGATAGTTGGCATGTTGTCATTACAAACGCAGTTAATATGAATCTGAACTAAATATTAATTGTATACACTCAAAGTAGTTATAACTGAAGTGGAAAAAAAAAATTCACTGCATAGATATTTTAATCACAAATTACATCCATGCCTGTCTTGGTGGGAAACAGAAGACACATTTCTGTGGTAAACACTCAAGATGGTTTAGTGTTAGATGGGGGCCTAGTGGTTAGAGAAGTGTGCTTGTGCTCTGAGAAGGTTGCAAGTACCCGGTTCGACAGCCTGCACTCTGGGCTCCTGAGCAAGACTCTTAACCCCACACTGGTCCCCAGGCGCTGCATACTGTAAAGGGCTGGTTATACTCCCCGCAGCCGCAGTGAGCTTGACGCAGACATTTTTTATTTGTGCTCAATTTTGAGCGTGGTCTGCCCTATATGCTTTGGGTCTAGATACAGTCGAGGCTGTGAGGAAGTGGGGGCACGTTTATCCAACAACAGAGGGACATGACGGCGAAAAAGAATGGAGATCCAGGTGGAAAAAGGGTCCCAGCGTTCTCGTGCACCTCGCTCTTCTAGGTGGTAAAACTTCCCGAGTGGTTTTCCACAATTGCGGTAATAAAAACAAACGAAGCCAGGCCTCCTGTCTGCGGCAATGTCTGCAGTCACCTACAATTTTGGAAGAGGTGCAGCAGCGTCTGCGGAGGGGGCGGGGACATCTTTTTGTTCACTGCGACACCTACGGAGACGACCTAGTTTCGAAGTATAAATCAGCCTTATTGGCAGCTCGCTGCTCCCAAAGGGGATGGGTTAACTGCAGAGAGTTAATTTCCCATTGTGGGACAATAAAGGGATTTACATACACAAGATGAAAGCAGCCTGACTAAAGATGGAGGCGCTTAGGCTTGGTTGTCCTTGCGGACTCTGGAAGCAGCTGATAGGTACTGGTTGACGGAGGGCTGCAGGTATGAATGTAAACTTGTGTACTGAGAGAATTCAGAGACTGTGAGAAAGCTTTGTTTTGCCATTTCTACATAATAAATAGAATTAAAAAAATAAGTGTTTTAAATTACTTAAAACACTGGCATGTTTTTTTTCTAACAGCCTAAAGAAGTATAATGGGTTGTTGTGTTAAACTAATTACAATATACTGTAATGTTTAAGCTTGGCTTGTTCATTAGTACATTTAAGCAAACATAACTAGCTATCCATGATTAGCGCTTCACCTTAAGTAACTAAAGGTATCGTCTTCTCCAGCATCATACCAAATCTGTTTTGAAACAATTTTAGCGATAACATGATCAGTTGCTTCTGAGGGTCCCAAAGACAAAATGCAAGCTCAGAGGGGACTGTGCTTTTTCTGTGGCAGCTCCTAAGCTATGGAATGATCTGCCTTTGAGCATAAGACAGGCCTCTTCTCTTGCTATCTTTAAGTCCCTTGTTAAGACTCATCTTTTTTCCTTGGCTTTTGGCACAATTTGAGAGGTTTCACTTTGTTTTATTCTGTTTGTATACTAATATGTATTTTATTCTCTATCTTTTCTATTTTTATAATTGCATTGTATTTTATGATTGTGTACAGCACTTTGGTCCTGTCCGGTGTATAAAGTGCTTCATAAATAAAGCTGGTATGGTATTGTATGGTAACATTCTTAACAAGAAGTTATCAGTTCAGTTTTGTCAAGATCTTGGGTCAACCTGCTTCTGTGACTAGATAATTTTTGTTTGTGTTTTTCTTCTCCTTGTTAACAATTTTAGATACAGAATTGACACCATTGCTAAAAAACAAAAAAAAACAAAAAAGTATTGTGATTCCCTTTTGATGTGCTGTATAGTTTTTACGTTTGTTAGTTTATTTTCTCTGTGTTCCAAACTGCTTTTAACATTGTTGTTAAAAAGTAACTTTGTTATGCTTGTTGATCAGTCCTGCTGTAGAAAAAAATATTCCCAACTCTCCATTCCAAAGTCCGGATATGAGCCAATTCCAACTCTTGTAAATATATACTCAACAAACTAAAGCATTTCTGTAAGCATTCAGGGTAGTATCTGAAACTGCATTGGTATAATACCAAGAAAAATGTATAATTTCCCCAATTTTATAATTTAATTTTCATTAATCTCGACTTAGGTTCCTAAAATGACTTGTTGATTTTCCAAATATTTACCTGTGACATGGGGTTTACAGTGGCACTGCCCTGTGTCCTGGTTGCAGATGGAAACTTCTACTGTTGAGGGGCTCATGGTTCCTTGGTCACTACAGTTACAGGATGTGCAGCCATTTGGATTTGTAGCATCGAGACCATACCAACCAGGCAAACAGTGAGTGCATTGACGGCCTGTTACTGCAACTTTGCAGTGACACTGTCCTCCAATCTTTGTATGACACAGACAGCGAGAGATGAAGAGATACAAAGGAAATATAAGGTATACAAATCAACAACTTTCTGAGAATTGAATTTAAAGGGCAGCATGTATGTACCTGGGCACACTCTGTGGTACCTTGGACAGTTCCAGCAGGGTTACAGTTGCAGGGCTGACACACATGAGCTGAGGTTGGATCAAAATCCTGCATCCTGAAGAATCCACTTACACACTGCTCGCAGTTCTTTCCTTATGATGAGAGTGACAAAAGAGATAAAGGAGGGGGAAAAAATTATATAATTTATTTATTTTTTTTTGTAAAATTATCAAAATAAAAGAACCTTTGCTTATATTCTATTCGGCATGTCCCGGTTTGAATCCAGGAATATTTAAATGATTAATATTGGAAGTATGAGATGAAACTTTACTCCAACATTTTTCAGAGTGAAATGAGCAAAACAGGAAAGAGCTCTTGTAACCGAGTCAATGAGATGCGCAGTTATCAGCACAGAAGTACGAAGCTTATGAAGTCTCTTTCACTAAGAATTCTCAAATGCTGCACCCGTGCTGTACACCAACAAAAACAACATCTCTCTTTAATAATGTCTCTCACCCCACACATGAAACTGTTGCTGAACTGGAGACAGACTGCTGCACCATAAATGCACAAAGGAGCGTTATCACAGATCCTTCCTGCCAGCAGCTGTAAGACTTTATAACTATCACTGCTCCTAACAAGCTAAAGACCTTTTTATACAAATCTTTTTGCATAGGTGATAGTCACTTTAAATAGCATGCTGCTGTCATTTTGTACATCTCTGCTGTTGCTATTTCTTAATACTGTAAAAATGTCCACATTAATTAATTTTTTAGGGACTGCACAAAACTTCTTTTTGCTCATTGTGTACAACATTTTTATTTGTATTGTAATATGTTTTTAACCTTTTTTCCCACGTTATTCTGCTTTTTTTTTATGTATGTACACTTTTTAATGTCTATACTTGTGTTACTCTTTTACTATAATGCCTGTCGCTTTGCTGCTTTTACAACACAATTTCCCTATTGTGGGATAAAAGGATTTTCTATTCTATTTCCTTTTAGCTTCTTTAGTTAAAGCCTTAGGCTTTCAGGACCAACAGGCAATATTTTCCATCTGAATTGTCTGTAAGTATTGTCTGAATAATCTGCCAGTAAGGAAGAATGAAAGAAAAGGAAGCAGAATGCTTAGCATAGGGTCCTCCTGACATTCCCATCCAATTTTTTTTATTTCTAATACAATACCTATATTGCCGCTTTTTGTGGCCGATACAGATATTGGACCTGAGACAGTACAAATCAAACATACTTTTATTACTTATTTCACAGTATGGACTGTAAAACAAATGTTGATCCAGTGGTAGTACTTAAAGGAACTAGGAGCAGGAATTGTGAAACAATACACATGCATGTCCAGCTTTTTTTATACTAATGGGTGATTAGGCGTTGCAAACCAAAGCCAACGAGCCCATCCATGTATCGCTCTATGCCTAGAATAGGATGTGTGCTGCAAAATACGCTACAATCTGGGGTCAGTTTAGGAGAGAGATGTGATGTCAATTGATGCCACAGACGCACCCCCGTCAGCTTTGATACAGGAAGCTGCGGTTGTTTCAGTGGTAGTACTGGAAGCAACTGTAGAAGAAGAAGCTGTTGTTTAAAACAGTGACAAGGACAACTATTGGCTTAATCTGCAGTCAGCAAACGACCACAATATACTCAAAGTCCACTAAAAGCGACACTGCCAAAAAAAAAAAGACTTTATCAGCAGCAACTTGTGAGTTGAAACAAAAATATGAAGCGGGGAAAGCACCTGGATAAATATTGGAAACAAGCTCAACTCGTGGAGGGAACAGTAGCTGGATTTGGGACAGAATACTGATGCTGACATGGCTAATTTCTTAGTGACCGTATAGGTAACATTATGTTTTGAGCTTGATATGAAATTGATATGAGATCACAGAGAGTCAGTGAGCCCTAACGTATAGTAGCGTTTGCTATTCACAATAGTTGCTGTGTAGCACTGAATGTTTACAGACGGTATGTTTACCAAAAAGTATAGAGAGGTTTTTTAGAATTATAATTCCAACCTGTCAGAGAGGGTTTTACGTTAGCAGCTTGCTGTAGCTACATGCTGAAGCTTTTATTTGTGTAGTAACATAAGTGGGAATGCATAAGCATTCCCACTTGATTAGGTTTTGTTGCTTTACCATTTCAGTTTGCATAAAAAATAGATGAAGCCAACATAAAAGTTACACTAAAATTAACATTATTTACTTCGTCGCTGAACATGGTGGTTGTTGCTGTAAAAAAATATATGCGGCGGTCTTAAAGTAAAGCGTCACGTTGTAAACAGCGTACAGGATCACCAGTGCAGTGCTATAATATATCCTATCTGTGAAGCGTTTCTGTGCTCTCCAGTGCCCGCTAGTCTAGTGACTGCAGTTACCGACAGTGCCAGTCATGTCACTTGTTACTCTAATTTCCTCCTCCTGCCTCTAGTTCCTTTAAACAGAGAATCACAGTCTACAACCATAGGCATAAGAAATACTGAGCCTTTTATTATTAACCAATGGGTCAAAATGAGCATGAGAACAGTGAGCAAAAATCCCAGAACTGCAGAGTGCTGGGAACAAAAGCTGCCATAAGTAAAACACAACCCCCCATGGGGGACTCGAATCTTGAAGTGCAAGGGGTGTCCCCTGTTTAAACCAATATATTTCCAGGCCCCTCTTAAGTTTTCCAGAAAAGTTATGGATGATCAAGAAGTGGACATGGAGGATACCATGTATTCAGATGCAACCAAGTTGGCACAAACTCAACTTGTCATGTTTGGAGGAAGAAGAATGCTGAATTGCATCCTGAGAACACCATACCTAAAATAAAGCATGGTGATGGAAACATGGGGCTGCTTTACAAATGGGTGTCAGGATCCCAGTTTTTGTGTTCGTCTGTTTGTCTTGTCTTTTGTGTTTCTCCGTTCCACCACCGGGAGGCGCCTGGCTCCGGTTCGCCTCCTCACACATCTGCAAGCTGTTGCCTCATCACCGGACTGCTCTTAAGCTGCTGGTTGCCACTACTTCGACGCCAGAGTGTTTGCCAGTTTATGCCGAGTCTAATCTGAGTTTTTGCATTTTGAGTTTTTGTTCTCTAGCCAAGCTGAGATCACATTGAGTTTTACTGAGCTCTTGCTCTCCCTGAGTCTCAACTTTGTTTGTTCTTTGCCTTTTGGCAGGAAGCCTTCCTGCAAACTGGACCTTTTTGGACCGCCTTCTCCCAAGTGGGATCAACTGAGTCTTACACTGAGCGAGGAGGTTTGGATGCAGCCACCTTTGAGCACGCTGAGATCACTCTCTGAGTAAGGAAGTCATCTTCACCACGACCCGTTCAAGTACCACAGGAAAACTGAGTGGCAACCAGCGGCTGCATCATTCCACTCCGTCCGAGTTCTGGGTAAACCCTGTTCCGCCCTCCACCGAATCAAACAAACTCCTTAAGACCTACACACAGACTGGAGTTTACGTGTCTCTTCTTCTCTGGAAACGTGAGTGGCAACAAATCCTCTCCTTCAAGATTAACAACTCAAATTCCCCACTGAGCCTGAATCTTATAGTCTGTCTTCCCCTCGTCTTCCAGTTTCCCAGCCGAGCAGAGTTCGGAGGAACTCTGCACCGAACTCAAAATACTCTTCAATAAAACCCATTCAAACATTTACTCTGTGTCTCTATGTTTGGCTTCACTGCATGTGGGTCCGAGCTTTAGATAAAATCATGACAATGGGAAACATTTGGCCTCTGTCATTACGAACAAAGGTTATACTACAAAGTATTGAGTTGAAAATTAAATTAACAAAATCACATTGTCCTTATTTTACTTCTTATTCATCTTTGTGTAAAGCAGTTTTAATAAAATCTCTTGGAATGAACAAGGCTTCTATTCATATTTGTTTTGTATCTGTTATATTTAAAATATTTTAAAAATATGATTTCTATTTTACGATTCATTAAATTTTGCAAAAGAGAGAGCACCTGTAGTATTGTGAATGCAGTGGTCACAGACTCCTCCTCCTCCACGATAGTGCTCATGTGGATGCTCGTCAGCAAGGACATCATAATGACAAGAAACAGCATGACCATAACACTGACAGAGTCTGCAGTTCATAGGCTGGAGCTGATCACCTGACCTGAAGGGTTTGTCATTGTAGAGTGGTGCACAGCGTTCGCACTGAAAAACAAAATGAACAAAAACATTTTATGTCAAACAAGAATTATGAAAACACATCTGCTAGCATTTTACATAATGGTAAAAGTCACAGTAGTTACATTACAAAGTTTGAAAGAAAAACAATGGATTTCCAAATTAAAGCATTAGTTTCTGAAAAAAAAAAATTAAATTGTCTTTTTTAAATTAGTTATTAGTTAAATAACTTGTGGTTACATTTACAGTAACATATTAGTATTTGCTACTGGTCCAGGGGGTACCAGGCCTTTCCCTTATAGACTGCTGCAGATGGGCACCAGCCTCACCGTGACATTGACGAATGAAGCTCCAGAAAAAGGATCGGAATTATTATAAGAAAGTAAACATAAAAGTAAAAGAGGAACAAGTCAGCAGAACCCAAATGAAAAGTAAAACAAAAACCCATTCACTTCTAAGAGTGATGTTCATTTTATTGCTAAATCTGCAAGTTAAAGATATGAGTTAACCATTTAGTGCCATACACTGAGGTTTTGGAGGTTTTTAAAAAGGTAGATTTAGTGTTTAAATCTGGCCTGTTTTCATCATAAGAACCAAGTGGTACCAATTATACAGTCTGCCCCAGTTGGGACAGTTTAACCAATCAACCTTGGATCACTGCTCTGTTTGAGATCCATTAGCAAGGAGTGGCTAAAGATATGTTTATATGCCTGTAATAAATACCAGGCTATATGATTGCCCAGTTCACCCCCCAAAAACTGGTCCCCAAAAGTACCTATAAATTAGCACAAGGAAAGGGATATTATAAGTGACTTGTAACAGCTATTGCTTTTACAAAATCCCACTTTCATGTAAAAAAATAAACATACCAAGGAATATGTGGAAGGGAAGTGGAGTTGCGTTTGTGCCTGTATGTGTGTGGGGGTTCGGAGGGGTTGGTGGGTGGAGGTGGGGTAGGGGGGTTATAAAAAACAATCATTTCTTTAGAAGAAAACAGCAGAGGAAGGAAGCAGCAAGTACAAGTCCTTTGATTATGTTCAGCAGTCAGTACAAATTATGGTGGACAAGGGGGGCATCAAATGGCAGGATTAAAAATGTATTAAAAAACACAGGAGTTCCTCCCATGTGTGACACATGTAGACCTGCACTGGGCCTATTATGTATGACACACAGACGAGAGGGTGTTCAGAAGGTAAAAAGGAGGAGGGGGAGAGGGTTGATGAGGACTTGGGGGAGGTGATATAATTTTGGATTTCAGGGAAAGAAAGTATGAAAAAAATAGCAACAAGAATAAATCAAACAGCAGCAAGTAAAATACATTATGTAAGATTTAGTGAGGAGAAACAACAGGAAAAAAATAACAATAAAACAAGAGGCAAAATCCTACAAACCTGCATTTGGTTGGGGTTGTGCAGCTAAATTGAAGTACATTGTTTAATAATCCACTATAAAAATGTATGGAACAAAAAGTTATAGAATCAAATGATATGGTCATATCTTAATTTTTTTTACATCTATGACCCCTTGCCTGTATGTCTTTTTCCAGGGTTATTACTGAATAAAAAAAAAACTGAATATGATTACCATGAAAGGGTTTTTCTAAAAAAAAAAAAGGTTGACTTTGGAGATATGCGTCAAAGAAACGTTCACATAAAAGGCAGCAACACAATTAGGGTCGGGAATTGATAAGATTTTCACGATTCTGATTCCCTTATCGATTCTGTGAAACGATTCAATTTCTTATTGATTCTGTGAAACAATGAATTTGGTAAGTGCACGGTGACATTCCTCTACCTTTGCCTGGGACGTTCTATTTCTGCCTGCCTCGGCGAAAACAGAAGGCAGTGAACGGGCGCTGCCAGCCTCTGAGCCAGCCAGGCTACCCGTCTCGTCACAGTCACCTAAATCTAATGGGGAAGGCATCCGTTTAATGAAAAAGCATTACTGTAAAATTTCGGGATATAAACTCATCTCCCTCTGATTTGAATAAACAAATGTCACCTTTCTTTGATCCCTGAACTGCAGAGCAAAGTCGTAGCAGGTTTAATAACCCCAAGAAGAGGCAGGAAATTGGTTTATTTCCAGAAATGGCCTGTGATTTACTAGGAACCTCATTAAGCACAGCCAGTGATATAAAACTAGCTACTTACCACCAGAGTTGCCTTCCATGCTACGTTAAAATGTATGCCATGTTGTGTGCGCAGGTGTCTCTGCATGTTGGATATATTTCCTCCCGCGGATGTAATTGCCAGTTTACGTCCAAACTTTTGTTCGGTTTTACCAGATGGGACTTTTCTAGACTTACGCCTGGTCACGTCGTACTCGCTTACTGAATGCAGTGTGCGTAACTTGCGTTAAAAACGTGACGCAAGTCGTGCCCAGCACTAGGCTCTGGTGCTGCCTGGAAACGTTAAGAGAATTGTTAAGCGAGCTGCCAAACAGTGCCATGGAATTGGAACACGCAGAACCGGTTCTGAACAGAAACCGGTTTTTGATTCCATCCCTAAACACAATGATTCCAAACATTAGCTGCATCTACTGAACTAATTTACTGCATCTTCAGCTTGTGCTAATTCCAGAACAGGATCATTACAAGGCAAGCTTCTTTCACTTTTCCATAAACCTAACTGGTTTGAAGCCCTAGAAATTGTGATGTTCTGTTTATTGTGAAACCTTTTTTTAAAAAACCAATTAATTTGTTTTCAGCAATTTATGCTACAGCTAACTTACCATCTAGAAAGTGGACCATTCTTTCTTGGAGTTTAAAAAATATGTCTACTTTTTTTATTGTGGCTCTTTTCTCTGGCATGTTTCACCTATCGATGCTACTTTCTACCTTCTGTCCAAAAGCTCTTTGAACCTCGCTGCTAAACTTGTCTACAGCTGTTGAATCCAGGAGTAGAAGATTTTCCATCTATGGGTCTCTTTTCATTTCTTTTGGTACCCTTCTGCTTCCAGCCTTCCTCATTTTCCAAACTTCTCTTTGTGGAAAACAAATCTTTCTGTACATCTCTCCCATCTTTCCATCTATCCACCTCCTCATCCCCCATCAGTCTCCACTGTCCCTCGACTACTTGTTCTCATAGTCACGGTGACTGTGTGAGCTGAAAATATTACCATAGCAAATGAAAGAGTTTTTTTTTCTTTCGTCTCTTTTCTTTTTATACAACATTGCTTTACCTTCCCTCCCTCCCTGCCTGCTAATTAGTCGAGGGACTGGTGTTTGGGAGTTAAAAGAGGAGCGTGCACGTTAATTCTACTCATACAAAAGGTTTTGATGCTGCTCCATCATCTACATGCAGCAACAGAGCAAAAAACGAGGACACATGAAGAAGATTGAGTCTGTGCATTTCTAATTCACAATTTGTTGGACCCTCTTATTTGGGTTAGGCCACTATAATAATCCTTATTAAGAGTTAAGACCTTATTTCTGTTTTTTTTTTCAACAGTAGTTCTGTCAGTGATAAACCATGATTCTAAATCACTCACTCTAAAAATATTGTTTTTTTTCAATCAATGTTATGTGAAAATAGTGCTCTGAAAAATCTTTGTCCCAAACCGATTTTTGCTTTTTATTATACTGCCGTTTCATTCAACAAACTTCACTTTAAAGATAACCAAACTAAAAACAAAGTACAGCATTTGTTGCCCAAATTAACTGCTGTCAAGAGCACTTGTTTTTAAAATCATCTTGTAGTACATTTGACAAATTTTTAAGAGAAACTTTGTGCTTTGGGCATCAACAATCTGCTTAAGATCATGCCACAGCATCTTAATCAGAAGAACTTTGACTAGACCAATACAAAACCTGTTTTTAATAAGTCTGTCAGAGATAAACCATTATCATGCTACATAACCAAGCTATGCTCAAGATCGATGCTATAAACTGAAGATATCAATCTTTTAGGATTTTCTTAAAAAGCAGGATTAATGTTCCTGTAAATTACCTTAAGTCATTCACATCCTGAAGAAACTAAAAATCTCCAGATCATCGCAACACCACCACCAAGGTTTATTCCCAATATGATGCAGTTTTACTCCAGCTCAAACAAAATAAATACCTTCCAAAAAGTGTTCCTTTTATTCAGCAGTAGTTATGGCCTTAGAACGCATGGTGTCTTTTTTCCCCCCAATTTCTTTTTTTGCTGGTGAATCATTAACCAGTTCTTTACTGCCACATGTTTCTCCATTTATAGATTCTGGTTCGAACTGTTTGCTTGAGAATTAAAGCCTTAATAAAACATTCAGAAGTGATAAAGTAAATAAGAATAGATAAGGCTTTTTTTCCCCATCTATTTATTAATAAAAACTCTGACAGTAACTGACAATGAGTTTAAGTTTCGTTGGTAAATATGAACTCTGCTCCACCCAAAAAATTTAAATAAAATATGTTAAAGTGAAATGAGGATTTAAAAAGATGGATATAACTTTTTCACATACAGTGCTGTGAAATCTCCATCAGGATTCCCCCCCCCCACCTCAAACAAATTATAATATTTAAAAACCCCTTATCTTAGGCAAAGACATTTGCTCTGATTAAAAAACTACAAACTAAATCTGTAGGAGTAATTTTGTTTTTTACATACATACTTTGCACTCAGCCCAGAATACCTTATAAATATATATATATATATATCGGTTTGATATAAAATTTTCATGTAAAATGCCATATCCCAATGGCTGTAAGCAGATAATCATCATGATCAAGAGAAATGATGGCCTGTAAACATCTGGTTTGAACTTTGTGATATGATACATATGCAAAAGAAAACGAAAAAGAAAAAAAAAAACTATCAGAGCAGGTCATATGTTTCTAGAGACTGCAGCTGTGTGTGTGTGTTGGTGGATATGTATGTATTGAGTGTAAATCTAAGTACTTTGGACTGTGAACCAGAGGAAGGAATAACATCTTATTTTCACTCTGACTGTTGTGACAAAACCTGCTGAGTGAGGCGACTACTCTAATGGATATGTGGACATTCAGATGGCCTGTCATAAGCATCTGTGCATGTGTGCGTGAGTGTAAATCCACTGGGAACACTCATCTTATCCTAAATGCCATGACTAATTTCACGCTCTCGCAGCAAAGGTCATGGCACTTGCTAGTATGTGTGTGGCAGTGCTTGTGTGTATACATCCATGTCTTGTGTATCTACAGAAAAGTTAACCTGGTTAACTCAAGTGGAGGTGAAAATCTGCTGCTGGTGCAGCCTTCAGCGACAAAAAATCTGGAAAACACCACTTAACGTCAGTAGAGATCAGACACTGTTGTCTCACACAGGGAAGCGAGCTCAAATAAACAGCTAGAACTGGATTTGAAAATAGCAACTGACAAACTTAGAAAATCCCTTAGCAAAAAGTAGTATACTTGAAGTAAGTTCTATTAAGAATACTTAAGTATAAGTTTAAAAAGTATACCGAACAATGTACTTTTAGTGTACTTGAAGTTGTTAGGATTCCAGTTTGTGTGGGTTGTTTTTGTGTGTTTCTTCTCTCCACCACCTGATGGTGCCCTGTTCTCGTTGGGCCTCCTTGCACACCTGCGGCTCGTTGGGTCTTTACCAGAGGAGTATTTGAGCAGCAAGCTGTCACTAGCTCGACGCCAGAGTGTTTGCCAGTATTGGGTACTCTAGACATACTGAGATTAGCAGAGTCTAACCTTAGTCTTGTCCCTCCGAGTCTAAGGTTGTTTTGTCTTTGTTCTTCGGCAGGAAGCCTTCCTGAAACACTGGATAAGCCTGGACCTTCTATAAATGTCAAAATGTGTGAATTGGGGACATTTGCTCTCCGTCGTGTCTACTGCTAGCAGGTTCTTGTGCTAAATGAAAATTAGCCCCTTATGCTTTCATTTCCAACTTTGACTTCCCCCACTTGTGGTTAGGGAAAAAAAAAAACACAGAAAAGCGCCACCTTCTTATAAACCAAATGGATCAAAGTGAGGAGAAAAAAGTAGCGGCTTTCTAGACAGCAAAAATACGGTACATTTGTAGCAGAGTGATGGTAGAATTCTTGCTGTTATTCGGTTATAATACTTTTCCAAATCGAACATTTCCTGAGTGACATCTGTTGTAAAGGTTTATAAAATTCAACTGAAATGCACAGGCCCCAGACATTCACTCATATGCTCTCCTACACAAAGGTGCAAACACAATTTTATCCCTGTTGGCAGCTTTGCAGCACAATCTGATGCAACCGTCAAACACATGCCTTTAGTATTCAAAGGTCAGCTTTATTTACCTGTTTCAAACTCAGCTGAATTGTTATATTTATACAAGTAGTAAAATGAAACATACCATTATGTATATTTCTAATACAATTTCTGATTAAGATAAGGTGAGCACTATAATGCAAAATTTATGATATATCTTTCAGTCTTGACTGAATCCAGTGGTAGTAGCAATATGCAGACAGAGTGACAGAATAAGAGATCAAGTCTGACACAGAGTGCACATAAAAAAGAATCAAAAGACAGAGGGAGAAAGTAGGAGAGTCCAAGCGTACCTTTGTACACATATGGCTTTCGGCATGTATGAGTGTGTGTGAGAGGGAGCCAGTTTTAGTGTGTGTCTTCTAAGGCCCCTGTTGATCATTTTGACACATGTCTGAGCATTTCTGTCACTTTAATGTCACTCTGGAAATTCTACAGATTAGTACAACATCCTTCATGGTGCTAGGCCGATCCACATCAACAGAACGTATGCAATATTAAACACTAATATTCCCCACAGCCTTTAAGCTCTAATATTACAAAGACAGAAGAAAGGTCTTGAATATTCACTTGAAGAGATGGCATGGACAGGTTTAAAAGAAAAGTGCACACAAACACCAAAAGAAAAGAGCTCTTTGTAGGCAAATGCAGATATTATACAATGATGTGTTTCAGATAATCAAAGCTCCTACAGAGAATAGGTCACATTAAAACATGTCCTCCCTACTTAAATCTGGTGCATCTCCCAGCTCAACAAAAGAAGTAAGAAAAAAGGAAAGAAACAGCTTGGGAGGATGGATTAATCTGAGGCCGATAAATATATGGAAGCAGGAAAGAGTCAAACAGAAAAGAATTAGATACATAGAAAGTGCAGACATAAAGAGTGGTACAGGGTGGGGGTTATACAAAACGTTTGAGTGAAACGAAGCAAAAGACAAACAGAGGGGAAAAAAGGGCTGATTAGAGATGCATGCTGGGGGAATGTCATTGTTCTAGTCGATTTGAGACATTATTTGAACAGCGACTCAGGAGAGAACGACAGAGTATGAGAGACAGAGAGTTATCAGTAAAGAAAAAAAGGATAAAGGTTGTACTGGGACCTAGAGAGCAGAGAGACAACTGTAGTCTATAAAAAGAAAGCATGAAAGATTTTTTTATATTAATACATAGGCACCTGTTTATGTCTGGGAACATTTTCCACGACAACTTATTTTTTATTTTTATTCTTTATTCAAACATGGGTGAATGGAGAATGATATTTGTTTTGCTTAAAAATAATCTGAGAAGTTTTTAGTTGTTTTCGGTGAAAATTGTAAATAGACAATGGTGTTCACTGGTTCCTCTATAAAACACTAAAAGCCAAACTAATGCACAGTGACTGGGGCATGAATGATGTAGAAGTAGTAAATAATGTAGGTTGTCCTGTGTGACAGTGTGTTAAAGCAGACATTCCTGGATATTTCACTCGACCAATGGAAACTAAAGCTGAGATGATGGCAACTGCTAGTGACATAGGCTTTTTTATTTTTTAAAGAAACAACCATTCATGGATGGCAGTTTAGATCCGAACATGATTCAACGGGAAAAGACAGCAGTTTTTAATGACAAACTGATAATTCTGTGCGTTACTATAATATTGCTTAAATAGAACATATCAGGAATCAAGGATCTTTCTTTGTCTCCCTCGGGAGAACCTCTCCCCAGACAGGAAACAGCTTCACCGTATACAACATACAGTCCACAACAAACTGAAGTCAAATACAGACTAAGTTTTAATCAAATACCATATTTTTTTCCAGTAATAGGATTTAAAATATCTTAAAAAAAGTAAACTGATTTCTGTTCAACATAGTCATTAAATACAAAAAAGCAAACAAAAAGGAAAGGCTGCATAGGAACAGCTTCATTAATGGACTTATGAAATAGAAAAATTGAATTTAATCTTAGTCAATACAATCTTGGAGAAACAAAAACATGCACACAATTGAAGGACTCAAGTGCTGCTAATGTTGTATTAATTGTATCCACCTCTACAGTTATTGGTCATGTGTTTCTTTTTTTCCAATTAATTTTCTGTTAATGATATCTAAGTTTTACTTTATTATTTATTTTAATTTTAGCCTGAATTGTCTGTCTAAAGTTTACAAGGAGAAATATTATCGCAGTGAAGGCCTGATCAGATCAAATACATTTCATCTAAACCGATTTGGTCTGAGTGGGAAAGAAATTTCACTTGTAAAAAGAGAGGTGTATTTCTCCAATCACTATTCTGATTGGCGTCCATGTCCTGACCCGTTCGGATCTTTGGAGTAAGATCATCTCCATTGTGCATGTGTGCAACGTTAGTGTTACGTTTTTCCACCTTTTTTTCTGATAAATTAGACCGTTTCATGCATGTTTAACTGATGGAATCTGCTCAATCACTTGTTCATGTACAGACAATCTTTATCAGATGTAAGCAGAGATTTTGAATTCCAATGAATCAAGATTTAGATTGGGACAGTGAAATTTTGCAGATGTTAATGTAACAATAGTGTAAATTTTTACCCAAGTATTAGCTTGAGCTGAGGTATATTAAATTAAGATTATAATCAAATGTGGAGTACAGATGCTCGGTCGGAGCTGCCTTCTCCAAACCTCTATATAACTTAAGAGGCTCTGATCTGTCACTGAATAGGTCACTTTACAGTTTGATTTTCTGTTAAAACCAGGTGCTAACTGAGCTAAGCAAATAGAATTCTAACCTACCTAACTAGATATATTTTTAGCTTTCATAGTAGGTTTTAATAAAGGGGGGATAATGGCATTGTAAATCCATGACCTAAATCTGCTAAACAAAAAAGTTCAGCCAATTAGATTCCAAAACACCAAGGGGGAAAGTTCCTTTCTACGACAGTGCATGGGAAAGTAATTAAACTTTTATGCATTTTTATTGACATTATGTCATAAAACGGTTCAAGTACTCTGCAAACAACGAATAGTTGAGGTCTACAAAGAGCGATTAAAAAGCGCCCTCTTAATTTGCAGTCAAAACTTTAAAAAAACTAAGGGCAATAGTTTAAACATTTTTTAAGGATAAGAAGAATTAAATTTGCGAGGGAAAAAAGAAGAAATTTATTTACATTTAAAAAAATCATGTATTTTGTTGTAATTCCTTAAAAGTTCCCCTGATGTTAAAAAGTGATTAATCAGAACCCTGAGAAGTTTTTGCCCACAGGGATTTTCTCTCTCTTTCTATTTTGAGCCCTGCCGGATCTATACAGTAACCTCTACATGCTTTAAGATGCTTGGATCTAATTCAGACATTTATAGTTGCATCTAAACCCCCCGTTAAAGCATAAAAGTGTGATGGTTCTGTATTTAAATAGGTGAGACTTTTCAAAATGAACTTGGAAGGTTTTTATCACAAATAGTTGTGTAGAGCGATGTCATAGTGCATGTGAGGTCAGCTTTATCTATATGATATAATTATTGAGCAGTTGTTACTCACATTATTTCCGACGGTGTGGCTCTCAGGTAGACACAGACAGCGGTAAGGGGTCACACTGGTGTCACACTGATCTGCATGGCCGTGACACTCACATCTGTTCAGGGAAAAGTTGGGTCATGGTGTTAGAATAAATATAAAAAATAGTGAAAGCTACTTATGCAACGGAAATTAAAAATACATTTTACAATGAAAAAAAAAAATACAAAGACTAGAAAACCATTGATAGTGCAGACCCCTGCCAAGCAGCTAATTTTGCCCCTTATTATGACTTACACCTAAAACTAAAACTCACACATGATCTGGATTATTACCAAACTCAAATGATTTGTTTCCTTAGAATAGTATAAAACTCCTTAAAATTTGTTCATAAGTTTTAAAGTAATCCCGCTAACAGAAAAAAACAACAAACAAATATTTCTTAAAACATTAGCCAGAGACTTTAAACGTTTAGCCACAGAACAAAGGGTAACCATTAAAAGTTGTGGATTGTCCACAAGCCTAAATTTGCATGCTAACTGCAACTGTTTCTTCCATTCTGTGTGGCGAAAAACCCACTTCAAGAATATTACTGCCACCTAAAGCTGCAGTGAGATATGTATCATCTTATTCTAGTTCAATGTAATGTGATTTAAATTGAGTGCCTCTGCGATTTAGAAATTGTGTTTAGTTAAATTGCAATTATATTGTAAATGCAATTAATGCCGTGGGTAACAGATTTTTGTCAAACCTGAGTAATGATGCTGACGTTTATGGCATAAATATGGCCCATCCTCATATATTTCAAACACTAAAGACAAAATACACAGCACAGAATCTGGACTGATCAGGATTTTTAATGCCTCTACATTTTTCATTCTATCTCCTTCCCCTCCTGTTCTTGTATTTAGGATGCAAAGTTGTGCCTTTCATCTTTATGCTACAGTATGCTTTTGCGTGGAATATGTTTGGCCTGGAGTTGAATTATATTTTGTGAATAAATTCTCATATTTTGAATGGAAGTTGTTATGCCTTTACTCCATATGTGTGCAGTTACTGTTTGACCATGATTTGAGCTTGAGTCAAACTCTCATTTGTTGTCCTAAAACACAGCTGGTTGGGCATGTGTTCACAGAACAAATGACAGTCCAAAACTTATTTGATTAAATATAAAATAACATGAATGAATTTAATTGCGAAATATTTTTACGGTCTCCCATGTGTGGGCATTGAATAAAAACAGTCCACCATCATAAAGAACATGAGACAAAAAATCAAAGATTCAGTTAAATATTTCACCTTTTACTTTCAAAAGGAAACACATTTTAAATATCATTGAAAATCTTCACACCAGCAATCTGCTTAAGCAGATATCGCAATGTGCAAGTCTGTGCATCCCTAATAATATCACTTTTCATTCTCCTCCAATATTAATGTTTACATGCTTTACCAAAAGAAAAAAAAAATACGGAAGACGAATTAAACAGAAAGGAGTGACATGCATGAATGAAGATCGCACAGATGAGGTTTCAGCAGCATTAAATCTGTTTCTCCTACTTCACTGTAACAAGCTACTAATTAAAACAGCTTAGAGGGAGGGAGAAGGAGAGAAAGAAGATGATTGCCTCCTGCATAATCCTATAATTACCACAGTCATAAAAGACAGTCACTATGTCAGTCACAATGTCAGTGTAATGAAAAGATGTGTTCACAATTACTCTCAAAAAGCTCTGCTGAATCCCAACAGTCTGTGTGGAATATTTTTTTCTCAGCTGTGCTCACTCACTTCTTACAAATCGGTTCTCCAATGTTTCTTTTAACCAATTATGACATTTATATTGGCTTTGATATGATAAAAATGACGTAAATAATGAAAAATCCTGACTCTTTAAACTTTTTTATTTATTTTATTCTACAAATATTTTTTTTTCTAACAAGAGAATTTGGAACCAGAACTACCAAAATTGCTTTGCCACCCTCTAGAATATTTAAACAGCTATAGGACCCAGGTGCATTATCAGATCCACACTAAATTGTATGTGCTTCCTGATGACTGACTGTTTAACATATTGCAATGGCAAATTGAAAACATCTAAAGCCCACCCACCGCCACTCACTGAGGACAAAGTAACAAGTTCTGATGAAGATTGACCGCTAATGAAAGGCTTCAGATGTTATAAACTGGAAGAGACTAAAATCTCCATGAGATTTTGAGGACTTCGCGCTTGTGTTAAACTAAGCCTGATTGAACATAATATCAAAGGATGTAACATTGCCTAGAGGTGAGAAGCAGAGGTTGTGGGACAGGATTTCAGAACACCCATGATGGTGACTCATGCCATTACGGTGTGGAGGTAAGGGAGGTGTTTAACACTGCATGCAGCTTTAATGATATTTAGCATTTGGTCAACTCAATATTTATGTTTTTTCTTTAGTAGTTCTACAAATTAAAAGCTTAACTTTATCTGAAAGATCAGACACCTTCAAGAACATACTAAGACAGACAGTATATCTTCAAAGACTTTTACCTGCCACTGATTGTGATCTCACTTATGGCAAAGTGTCTGTGTCGCTGGTCGACTCCATCTGCTCCGGTGTGGTATTGTCCTTTCATATGTATTCTGACCTGGGAAGCTAGCACCATCTCTTGCAGGCCAGGAGTTTTATAGAAGTCATTATATCCTGGCCTCGGATGTGGCTGTGTGGTCAGGAGACTAAAGGTGATATTACCTCCTAAAAGTGGCACATCACTGGTGTACAAAAAAAAAGAATTAGTGTAACAAAGTAAAAAAAAAACAAACAGTATTTATAGATGAAAGAATTAAAACACTATCTCAAAATCTGAATAAAAAAAAAAATCCTCTCTGAAATTAGAGAAACACTGCTTTCCTGGTTTTCCTGAGTGCTACCAATTTCAACTTTTTATTTCAGGTCAAACTTGCCGATTCTGTTTTTTCATTCATTCCAAACTCGGCAAACTGATTTGTACATTCCCATTTCCTACAAATATATACACAAGGGATGTGAACGTTATCTCTTTTTTCTAGTTACAGAACAGCATTGCAGATAGTGGGCCAGTGTGAGAAAAATAAATCGAAGATTAACTTTTCGAACAGTAAATTATGAAAAATATGAATCTGGCTAAGTTTTATAGATCAAGTACTCGACATGGACATGCTTTGTTGCACGCTGAATCAGAATTGGCTGCAATGCAAAAATCTTGTTTTCAAATTTGAAACATATTTTAGCTAAGAAAATTTATGCTATTTTAATTATTGTCTAACTTTATGGTCTACAGTCAAAGTCTCTTTTTTTAACGTTAAAATTGCTATCCTCATTCTTGCCATGGGTGGGACTAACACTTTCTCAGAAATCCAAACTTTTCTTTTACAGATAAAATTTGGAGCAGCAAAGCAGACTGTGCACTCCTCTCCAGTCAAAAACCCACTGCATGCAGAGAGCAGCGGAGGCCCATTGCATTAATTCAGACTCGTGTGTGATACAAATAATAATCCCAGTGGATGACTTGACAAATAAAAACCCTAATAAAACATATACAGCAGGTTTTCCCACTTGCAGACCTTGTTGGTCTCTTTCATTTTTATCAGATACTTTTCAGCTGTGAGTTTTGGAAATTATAAAAAGAATCCTGAAAATTGCGTTGTGTAATTCTTAAGTAATTAACATTTCATCATTAAGGTGCCTGGAAAGTGCCAATGATCCAAACAACAAACATACTCAAAATTAAGGTACCTGATACGTTAATGCTATACAGACATGTTCTTCAAATCTTAGTCAATATAGTTTACCAACCTGGGCATTTGCTGGCAGTTGACAGAGTCTGGTCTTGGTAATGGTCCATTGTTCTGCATATCAAAAACATTGCAGTTTCTGGCCATATACTGCCAATCTAACCAGGATTGCTCTGTCATATCCATCTCCTGCTCAGAAAAAGGAAGCTTCTGTCTCTGAATCAAAACTGACTCAGGCAAAGGCCCCCGAAACTGCACTATAACGTAGAACACCTGATATAGAAAGTGATAAAAAATTACAGAAATTAGTATTTCAACTGAAATATTTTGATTAATAATTAAAATACAATAAATAAATAAATACAATAAACAATAAGAACAACATTTTGAGGTTGTTTTCTGTGCACAGTATTTAGCAAGCTTGATAAAAAACTTACAAAATTAAAATTAAGTTTTCCTTACTTGGCTATGCTTTGCACACATAACAATAACACTAGCCAAACCGGTTAAGAAACAAAAATAATTCTCAGCAGCTGCAACTGTTACAAAAAAAGTCTGAAACTGAAAAGTGCACAGAATTATTCGATCACACAGTGTTCAGAAAGTGCATTTTCCTCTATTCTGCACTTTAGATGAATGACTGTTTAGGTGCGACTGGTACTCGATACTTTTGAAAATGAGTATTGTATCCGGATACAACGTTTCAGTATCGATACTTTTTTGAGTATCGATACTTTTGACAACCCTAATGCAAATCATCACACATTGCACAATCACATATTTTTGTAGTCTGCCCATGGCAAGGTGTTCAATGACATTTGTATAAATGCAGGCTGTGGAAGAACCACACTGCTGGTACTACTGGACCTTAGTGCAGCGTTTGGCACTGTTGATCACCTAGTATGGAAAATTGGTTGTGCTTTTCTGGTAAAGGTCTTTTTTTTCTGAGAGTGGGTAACTTTATACCAGGGACCACAAATGTTACATGTAGCGTTCCCCAAGGGTCCATCTGAGGTTCCTCCTATTAAATATCTCTATCGAGTAAAAAAAAAATTATTTTCATTCTGAAGGTGTGGCAGCTTTTAATTTGCTGTGCAGTGCACCACAATCAATTATGTATAGCGGAAAAACTGAATGTGCTATATAAAAAAAACTGGCCTTGGTTCAAGCTAGGGTTTAATTATTTCCAGAATTTTAAATCTGCACCTTATAGTTATAGTAATGAAATACTGCAACCTTTGTTGTGTGTTTGTGCACGTTAAAATTATCTATCTATCTATCTCTATATATATATATATATATATATATATATATATATATATATATAAATATTTTAAGAACCAGACTTTCACTTCTAAAGCGACCCTGTACCCTTTGACAACAGTTGTACTCACCACAATGTATTTATTTTAGTACAAATGAAAGATGATTTTTTTTTTTATATCCATGTAGAGAAGCTACTTTCTATCATGTCAAATGTAATAATGTTCATATTAAATGTCACTGCTTGGCTCCCATCCAAGTTTTTATTTCAAAGATTTACAGTAGACAATGCCACATTACTTGTATATTTTAGCAAACATAAGGATGTGAGTTCTATCACATATAACCTATGAGCACATTTGTGCGTATGAGTCTTATCTGCCACTCCAGCGGGCCGGGACTCTGGGTTACACAGCAGGGAGTACATTAAGCCACTAAGGCTGTGAAAACCCACTCACACACAAACTCAAATACCCCTGACTTCAGAAAGTGTCTTTTATGTTGAGTTTTGAGTTGAGCAGCCACATGAGGACAGCCTCTAAAATATTGCACCCCCTACAAACAAACGTTATGTCCTGGTATCCTTCCAGGGGCTTTCCATTGCCTTCCATTCATTTCCCTAACTCAAACCAACAACCTAACTTGCCAACACATACCAAACGTTACACCTAACCTCAAATTAATTCATGCTTTAGTCCTAAATCTAACCCCAACCCAAGAAGAGAACTTCTCCTCATGGGGATCCATTTTTGGTTCCCACAAGTCCCCACTAAGTAGCATTTTCCTTGGAAACTGACCCCACAAGCAAAAAAAATACATAACCATGCACATAGGCCGTACACATACAAAAAAGAGGAGGACAGGGTCTTCTAATAACAATACCTTAATCCAATAGTTTGCCTGTATTTTTTAATTCTCTGTCCCTCTGTATTTTAGCTATACAACAGAGAACTACTTTTTACATCAACACACAGAAATGTTGCATATAATGGTGTGATCCATTGTCGCTGATGTAACAGGAACTATGCCCCTCTGAAGACACACCCCTCTGGTGTAGGTTTTAAAACGACTAGCTTCCTGTATTAGCGGTGCTGTATTTGCCGGTGGCTCTGTGTTGCTGAAGGCTAGACAAAGCGCTTCCAGCTAAAGGCTACACTAAGTAAAAACCATCCCTCCGGAGAAGTCTGCACTCGCTGGACCGAGTCAGACTGCCTTTTTCTTTCTTTTTTTTTTTTTTTATATACTCTAATAATCCCAGAGTGAAATTACTTCATTTAGCTGCATTTAACCCGTCCCCTTGCGGAGCAGTGGGCTGCCATTGTGCGGCGCCCGGGGAGCAGTGTGGGGTTAAGGGTCTTGCTCAGGGAGCCTGAGTGACAGTCTGTGGGAGTGGGGGATCGACTAACAACATCAGGATTCAAAGCCCTATGCCCTAACCACTAGACCGGACACTCCCCCCATTTCCTGCGATTCAAATAGAGTTGAACAAAGTGTTCCTGAAGCCTGCTGCAGCAGAGACAGAGAAGAGCTAATCCAGCTCTGTTAACCGCCGAAAAACAGGGCCCTGATCGTTGTTCGCCGAAGGAGTCGTTAGAAGCCGCCGGACCACGACTGCCTATAACGGAGAGACGCAGAAGCACCAAGGAGGTGCTGTTGGAGACCGGGGCTACGAGCTAACTAGCATAGCTAAAGAGGGAGACGTCCCGTGCTACCGTGATTTATAAAAATAACCCTTTGCAAATCTCCTCTTATTATTGCATCGGATTTATCCAAATCTCTTTGAGCTGGTGTCGGATGAATGGACTAGACCGAAGACGGGTCTGCAGAAAACCATACTGAGCTGAGGGCCTTTATTCCACCGAACCAAATCAGTAACCTCATCCTTCCCCTCCTTTCCATCTGATGCTAAATAAGTGCTCGATAAACTAGGTAGAATAGAAAGTCGTGTTGGTGTTTTTATTTGAAATAAGCTTTCTGATTTAACTGCTGATGGTATTAAGAGTGAATGCTAATGCTCACTGCAGACTGAACGAGTCACGTGTTGCTGAAGCTAACTGCTCAATCGTGAGCTAACCATCCCATTGTTTCAGTTGGACCCGACCAGAACCAGAACCGTTAGTCCTTCTTGGTGGTATGCTGACATTACCCTGGATACCCCGGCTCTAGATACATCACAAAGACTTGCTGTCTTGGTCACAGATGCGCCAGCAATACGTGAACCAACAATTTGTTCTCTTTTGAACTCTGGAATGTCACCCATAATGTTGTGTGCATTGCAATACTTTGAGCAAAACTGTGCTCTTACCCTGCTACAGTAATTGGACCTTCACACTCTGCTCTTATTAGTTCAATGTGCAATTAATGAGATTGGCCACCAGGCTGGTCCAATTTAGCCATGAAACCTCCCACACTAAAATGAGAGGTGTTTCAGTTTCATCGTCCAACCCCTGTATCAGCTGTGTTCTCCCAATAGCACTGCAGACTATCAATTTGCCTCTAAACATCAGTGCTGTGTAGGTTATTGGTTTAACTTTTTTAAACACTTTATTACCAATCTGTGCCATATACAGTACATGTCAAATTCTATTTAATAGTATAATTACATCAGTGTTTACTAATCACATTTCTGGGGTATGAACCTGTTCTGAAGTAAACTCCTGATCAGATTGAAATACTTGTACATAAAACGCAAACAAAGGATCTCCATTAAGATCCCATAACAGATGGTAGCTCTATTTTTTAAAGATTATCATGAAAATGATAATATCCAACAATAAAAGGCCTTCTTATATGACAGCAAAATGCATCCTAAGAGTACAAACTGGTGGTTCTGTGAAATGTCTCTAGACAAAACAAAAAATAAAGTGTTTTGGTTTCCAAACACATTAAATAGTCATATATGAGTTGCATTACCTGATATTGTCCATTAGCCAAATCCACTGTAATAGTGATTCCGTCATCTAGCTCCTGCAAACTCATGACCTTAGACAGCCACATGGTGCCCATATCTTGATCATTAATGTAACTAAGTGGATGAGCGTTGATGTTTAGTCTCAAGACCCTGTCATTAGTGGTGTCCTCAACAGCATTAGGAATACAGTATCTGTAGACAAAGAATAATTAAAATCATAATTCTATTTTTGGACCCAAATTTCAAAAATTTTTCTTCAGTTTAAAAAACTAAAATAAAAAAACTTTTAAAAGATTTTACTTCACTGAAAACAAATGTAGTAACACATGTAATCACAGTTAAATTTGCAAAAATAAAACAACTCAATTTGTGTGATTTGCATTTAATTTACGTATATAATGATTTGTTAATCTCTTTAAACACTCTAGATCAGGGGTCTTCAACGTTTTCCAGGCCAAGGACCCCCTCAAACTGATAGCGAGATCAAACGGGGATCACCTAATTATATATACTGTATGAAATTGTGTTTTGTCTAACTGGTCCTATAGTCACTCTATTACAGATGGAGTAATGTAACAAAAGTAAATTTTCCCTGGGATTATTCATCATTATTCATTCATTATTTTTCATCAATGAGGATTCTGATTCCTCATTAATGGGACAGAGCTCCTGTGTGTCGCTGAATGTGCACATTAATAACTGAAAGACATCTTCTAGCTCCATTTATCTGTTTACCACAGTGTATTAAAATCACATTAACGTATATTTAAAGACATTTCAACTAGTGGAAATAATTGCAGGGGGACCCCATGCAGTACCTCTGTGGACCACCTAGGGGTCGTGGACCCCATGTTGAAGACCTCTGCTCTAGATATTAAATACAGCTGTTCTTAAAAAAACAGGAATATGCTTCCCGTTTTATCCAGAGAATTAGTGTAGTAAATGCATCTAATCACAAATGGCTCATTTTAACAATTTTTACAGCGCTAATTTGAGTTCAACTGAACAGATGATGTTGTACTTCACCTCTCAACTAATGGATGTACTCTGGGATGGCTGGAAGGACAGCGGCACTCAGAGTGGACATGCAGCTTTGGCATGACTCCGGAATACAACTGGACTATTTCTCTGTTGAAGCAGCAAACAGCAACATCAAACATTATTGAAGCACCAAGTTCTGCCCAAATTACATGAGATATAAATATGATATAATATGATCTTCACACTGATGCATATTTTCAAATTAATAAATGAAACATTTTATAACAGATTGGTCAATAATCTGCTATAAATAAAACACTTACATAGGTGTGCCGCATTATTCTGCTACATTGCTACAAAAACAATCAGCACGCTAACTTGGGACTGATCATTTATGCTTAAAGAAGTAAAGATAGAACCATGCTTAACTTGTGGAACAAAAAGTCAGGTTGTTTGTTACAGCAGAACTCCATGCATCCTCATCCAAATCAAACCATTTCCCAACTTGCCTCTATGACTACCATTCTTGCCTGCTCAGATGCATTTTAACTGTAAATAACTAAACCTTAGGCTCCTATTGAACGTCTTTCTTGAAAAGAGGCTTTGAACCTAAATTTTTGGACAAAATTTAGGAGAACATGTTGACTTATTATTATTAATTTTTTATAAAATAAGCTTGTGCCAACAGGGATCTAAACATGCAATGATTAGCTATTTTTAGGCCTTTGTTTTCCTTTCAGTACTGTATGTTTCTCCTTTACTTTTGTCCCAAATATATTCATGATGAGTTAAAAAGATCAATTCAGCTGAATATTTTATCCCAGCAGATGTTTACAAAAAATCCCTATACAACTCACCTGTTGGTCAGTGTAGTAGGATAATATCTAAAGTCCTGCATCCGCCCAATGAACTGATTAGACCCTGCAGAGATAAAAGCAGAGTTAAATGGATCTAAAGAAGGTGTTAATGGGTTTCTTCCAGAATGCAGTTAGTGAGAGGATTTCATAGTATTTACTGTAGAAGATTATCTTATCAGTTTCTTAAAACCTGCCAACTAAGGCTGCCAACTGCTGCCTATAATGGTGAAGATTTTAACACAAAGTCAAACAGGGTCTGCAACAGAGCTCAATTGTCTCCACTGGAGAGCAACAGGCCTTTGAGGGCAAATTGATTGGTGTAATAATGATAGTCTGATTTAAGCTGATTAAAGGACCATGAGGTATAATCATATATTTTTCTCAAATCCATCTTGTGATTGTGACATAGACAACCAATTGGAGATAAATCTTTTTATATATAATGTTGGTTTGGAGAAAAAAAGGCAGCTGAAAATATTTAAGTCATTTTGTCTGAATAAATACAGACCATCAGTATCATCCACATTAATACAAAAAATGTAGTCAGTTTTTATTCAATATAAAAGTTTTGTAAACTTTATGAATAACTGTCAGACCTTCTGATAAGAAGGTTTTGGGTTTATCTTCAAAATAGCTGCAAAGGTACAAATACTGTACAACAAATACTGTGGGTAAATATATTCTCTTAAATAACATTTGTGCTATGGAAAAAATCCATGCAAATTAACATGCAAAAAATACAGGTTTTGCAAAATATTATTTTGCTAAATCTGGTGTAAGTACAGTACAGACCAAAAGTTTGGACACACCTTCTCATTCAAAGAGTGGTAGATTGTAGATTCACACTGAAGGCATCAAAACTATGAATTAACACATATGGAATTATATACTTAACAAAAAAGTGTGAAAGAACTGGAAATATGTCTTATATTCTAGGTTCTTTGAAGTAGCCATCTTTTGCTTTGATTACTGCTTCGCACACTTTTGGCATTTGGCTTTCTGTATAAACCTCGATTATTAACAAACAGAAAAGTTTTAAAACTTTTTTTCCTAGATAAAATATTTGAAAAAAAAACTAATATAATAATTTTATTACACAGATATTGATTGGAACAATGTTTTAAGATAAAAAAAAAAACTAAGGTTACGATCAAACTGCTGGCCTTAATGCGCAATTCAAATTTTTTTGTGAAATCCGATTTTTCAGTGATCTCCTGTGTGAACTGCATTCATACAACGCAAGTGTCCCGCATGCGCAGCAGAGGACACAATGACGTCACAAGCCAGCGAGCTCTGTGCTTAGGGAAGTAAACATGGATGGTTTTGCAGGAGCGCATATAGTGATCTTTTCCAACCATAAAAACACAATCGTGGTTAAACATAACTACTACTCTTAGCATTATCTTCTGTCATGTTTGTTCTTTTTCTTCCCCCTACTGCATAGCAAGATGCCGAATAGTGACCTTTGTCGGGTATTAATGTTGTTCAGGCCGGATGAATGCGACCTGGCCGTTCACACACAGGTCGCATTTAAAAAGATCATATCCAAATCGTATTCAGGACAACCTAGCCATGTGGCCTGGGTCGCATTGGAAAAAATCTGATCTGTGTTATTCAGACTGCCATGAAAAGATCAGATACAGGATGCATATGGGCAAAGAAATCGGATTGGGTCACTTCAGGCTGCTGTGTGAATGTAGCTTAAGTGAGTACACTCCTGACATTCTCTGCTTCAGTATTCTCTGCTTCAGTATGTCAGAGTAAAGGGCTGTGTATACTCCAGCAACACTGTGTTGCAGTGAGCTTGTCGCAGGTATGACGCAAATAATTTTGATTTATGCTCAACTTTGTAGCATGATTTGCGCTGTGTTATCCCACACCACAACGCAAGAGGCAAAATCATTAACTAGCTAGGATTTTGGATGTTTATGTGTCAGTTTGACGAGCTTGTTCGCCGTCTACAACACCTCATCCAACACTGGACAACACACAGTTCACCCGTGAGTGTTCCCGAAAGACTGGCCGTGGTGCTACATGTTTTGGCTTCGGGTGCAAACCAACAGACCGTTGTACAAAACTACAAGCTAATATACTGCACAGTGTTTAGGATAGTGTCCAAGGTGTGTCAGCTACTGTGGACAGCATTACAGCCAGAGTTTCAGCCATTAGGTACCAAACAGGAAATATGCATAGTGTATCTGCGTTAACTGCGACACACACACAGACGACCTGGTTTCTGAGCATAAACCAGGCTTAAATGTTCGCATTCATGGTTTCTGCAATGACCCATCCAGAGCTGGGAATCTCTAATGCTGCCCCAAACCATGACACTCCCAACATCATGCTACAGTAGGTTGTAGGCAAGACACACTTGTCTTTGTTCTACTTGCCTGTTTGCCACCTTAACACAATCTAAACTAAATTTGCCTTTCCTGCTCTACCAACAGGAAATGGCTCCAATTATCCATGCCTTTAGTCTTCTTGTCTTCAACAAACTGTTTTGGCTTTCTGGTGCATCATTCCGGGAAGAGGTTTTATTCTTGGGAGGCACTCATGCATATCCTATTAATGCAGTGTATACCATATGGTCTAAGTATTGACAGATAGAATGGCATATTTTAAGTGTCCTCCCAAAAAAGATACAAAAAAAATAAAGAACAGAGAAAATATAAAAAAAAAATTCAAATTTCTATAAAATGCAAGATAAACACTTTTTCAAAGGATTGATTGTGCTGGAATACTTCAAACACAATGGAAAACTGTCTGGGTGCACATGGGGATACACCAGAGACTCTGTCATACTAAACAGTACAGTTAACTCACATCTCCACACTAAGCAATGCAAAAATGATAACTTGGGAGTAAGAGACCAACAGAGATGATGCTGGTGATGGTGGCCCTGAGAGGAACAAAGTCTTTTTCTGTTCAAACAACTTCCTTCTAGTTTGACTAAGTCTTAGGAACTGGATAACGTCTTTAAGCACTGACAGAACCCCTGCCATGTTAAGCCTGTAAAAGTGTGCATTTCTGTGTTAGTGGCTTTACCTTGTGGATTCCAAAAATTATCCTTGGTTTAGCACAAGAATGTGTGTAGTTTGTAAATGTGTGCCTTTATTTACACTTGAGAGAGTCTCTAGTTTGTGTGCCTATCCACTGTATACATGTGTGTGTGTTTTGGGTAATGTTTAGAGTGTGGCTTGTGCATGGAAAACAGAGAGAGTGTGAGCGAGTGTTCTGGGATGTAAGTGTGCAGCCTTAGGCTTTGGCTCAGGATTTCTTTAGTGTGTGGAAATGGGATTATATCTTCCACGGAAAAGCACTCTCCCTATTGTTACTGGAATGATGCAAGGTATAAGCTCTAATTCCCTACTGTCTGTGTTGGTCTCTTCTTTCTGTGTGTTTTAAATTGATGGTATTCAATTGTGTCTTATTGTATTTTTTGTATATTGTTAAAAAACGAAGCAGCTCATATTGAAACATATATATTATATAACATATATAACATATATATATATATAACATAACATATTGAAAAGATATATCAGAAGATTGTTTATTCATTTAGTGCAAATTTTGCATCCGTCATTAAATGTTTTAATGACTAAGAGACAAAACTTAAGATGCACACTGTATGAGAGGCGTTTAAAAAAAATCTTTATGAAAATGTGATATCTGCTGGACTTTTCAGTAATAACTTACCATTTCTAATCGTGACCCTTTTACTTTATTCCTACCATACTAGTGAAAACCATTTTATACATTTTCTTCTTTAATGAGGGAAGGTTAAACCAAAACATAATTCCCATCATCACAGCAGTCCAAAATACAGTCTGCAGTGCTAACACGTGCTAATAAAGTGATAAAATGTGGATGATGCCCAAAAAATTGATCCCCAATGCTGACTTGACTGACCAGGTTTCCAGCCTTGAGAAAGATTTTCTAGGTCTTGTAAAAAGTTGTGACTTTATGGCCCTTTGAAGAGAAGGGTTGTTTGTGATATTCTATAGTGAGTGTTAAAATGAAGTTATCTTGCTTGTCTAAAGTAATTTCTTTCTGTTGTATTTTGAAATATTTTTAGCACTGTATATGCTGCTCAGTGTGAGTTTCAGTTATTAGTTATATGATATTAAAAGTTAATGTTCTCTAGAGTATAATGTTTTTGATATTATGCATATTATTTGAAAAAAAATTGCTTGCTGATCATGTTATGTCCCGCACTAATTTTACATTTACTGCATTTAAACATCCTTCCAGTCAGTTCAGCGATCATTAACCTACCTAAATGCGACTAGATTCAGTCAAAGAAATTCAAATTATTTGATTGACTGTGGTCGAGATCCAGGTTGAGTGTTAACAGTTTGCATATTCCACTCGCTCCATTCCCTCTCAACCCTGATGGGAATGTAGGTAGTAGATAAACCCTAGCCAAAAAAAGTATGATGTGTCCGGCGCTTTAGTTGGAAAATCAGAAAAATTAGGGTTTAGGAAAAAATTCAAAAAAATGTTTAAAAAGAAAATTAAAATTGTGAATTATAGAAAGGTCTGTTAAGAATAGGTATAACCCTCCCTTTGTCCGATTTGGGGATCAAAGGCAGTGAAAAGCTATAGATATCATACAGTATATTAACTGCATGGAAAATACAAAATATTACCCTTGCCCATGCATAAAAGTATCATCAATTCAAGTTCCTCAATTCAATATATTGATTAGTCTTACTAAGTAAGAATGTTCAGCTAGCACTGATTGCTGCTTTCTGCCTTTAAATTACACTCCACTACCTTTGGGGTATAAGGCTCCTTCCTGACTACTTGTGTTTGGAAATTTCAATAAACAGGTACAAAATCAAAAACAGACATGGTTGTTAATCGATACAGCTGATCAGTATTTGCATAATTAATCTTCAGATCAGAATTCCAGGCACTCCCCCTGGGTTCAGCAACCTCCTTTTCTTACACACAAAGGATACAAACACACACACACTTGTGCCGTCCTGAGCCAATCACTTTCATTGATCAACCTTTCTGATGTGATCTTCAGCTGATCAGATGCTACCTGCTGTGAACTAGGAATCAATGACTGATAAACGAGAACAAAAACACTCGTTTATCACTCTAGAGTTAAACGGATATCATTTTTCTCTCCGTTTCTCTGCTATTGACTTTGAAATGGCTCATAGGCTTCATGAATCAATCACAGATATGTAGTTAAAAGAGGATAAAGGCCAGAAAGGAAAACTGAGGTGAAGTAATCATTGGCACCATATTAAGACGAACAGATCTGAAATACTCTTGGGCAATTTATTTCCTGTATGACTACAAAGCAAAGAAGAAACATTAAGTATATGTTGAACATTGTCACTGGGAAAAAAAAATTCATATAAAATTCCATTTCAATTTTGGTTGGAGGGCAGTTAGGGAAGCACAGTACAGTGACAGTAGTTGGCTAATGCAGAAAACCTCTTGCCCATTTCCCCTTTTAGGGCAAGGGTAATACGGAAACAGCTTTTGAAACCTGGGTTACAGCAGTTTTGGTAGTTTTAATAACATGGAAGTGTACCAAAAGATTTAACTAAAGTACTGATATAAACATGTCTAAATATTAATAAGTTTCATTCGATTGAGAAGTAAAACTAAAATACAACCTATGTTTCGTTTGCTTTAAGTAGCTTATTTTTGGAGGTCAGTTCCTCTGCAACTCAGGTGGCATTACTTCATTGGTCCAAACAATGAACAGAGCCTCTAGCAACAATAATTTTGTCAATTGGTGGGGGCACGGTGTATATATACAGCGGGTAAAATAATACCATTTATCTCAGTAAATATATTTCTAGAGGTGCCATCATCGTGACATTTTCACCATTTATCAGTTACAATCCATGCAATTCACACATACAAAGAAATCAAAGATGTCCACAAATTAAGTTATGTGTAATAAACAGCACATAGGCAGGTATAGCATCATAAAACATTTCATCTAACATTACTTCATCTCAATATCTATAGTTCTGAAAGTTACTAAAAAAAATAGGATTTTTTTAATGAATGTTATCTATTGTATTATCTCTCTTTTGCAGCAGATTGCAGATGTATTGTTTTACTTGATTCCTTAGTCAAGTACTGATACCACAGTGTCCATGTGAGACATTGCAGTTGTTTAATTTTCATCTATATTTCTCAAAAGGAAATTAAGTGTGGTCACTTTCTGGGAACCATTTAAAACATGTTTACATGTCTCTTGTTTAGTTCTTTGCCCTGCATGATCAGGGCAAAAAAAGTTTTTTTTTTTTTTTTTAAACATTAGGGACTGATCCTAGAAATTGCACATTTCCAGAAGAAAGCCCAAAGATCACAAAAGTCCTAAAACAGAAATTCTTACCATTGGAGCTAAGTCCCACCCACATGTCACCATACTCGTCGATATCAGAAAGTGGGCTCATCAGATGTTTTGTGTCAAACGGTGTTTGGTCATCTTCAAGTCCATCAAGAAAAAGACTTGCATGCCTGTCGTAGATCTGTAAATCAAAGTAATATTATTTACATTAAATGCACACAACTTATTACTTCAAAAAATATTCACATTTGTGCATTTAACAGGAAACAAAAAATATAATCTCCAAACTACAAAAAATAGGGCTCTTCATTTGCTACATACGGTAAATGTTAACCACCTTTCACCTGTCTGTCTTTAGAAGTCCAGTAAAGAGGCAACTGGAAAGATTCAATCATCATAAGTCAGCAGATCCTGATGGAGTAAGCCTGAAGAGTCTGGATACCCGTGCAGAGCAGCTCTATGGGATTCTACGGCACCTCTTCAACATTAGTCTGACCAGGGCTGGACTGGGAGATTTTTTCAGGCCAGGAGTCAGTCATGTAACCAGGGCACCCTGACATGACTGATTTCTTAGGTAGTGAAATAAAATGGAGTTGGGATCGGTTTTGCTTTTAGAGAATCCAACCGAAAAATTAAACAAGCTTTTATCAACCAAAGAGTAAGTTTTTCTTATATATTTGAGTTCACTTTCAACTTTGACACACATCAAAACCAGGTAGAGGTACTGACTGGATGTAGAGAACAGTCTGGTATCAGCTGTTTCTCACAGAGCTATAGGAGCTCATCAATAAGCTCAAACGTCTTGATGAAAACAAAGCAAACCAAATTAAGTCAGTCTGACTATAATTTTTGTTACTAATTAATCAAATTGAAATGTGATTATAGGGCAGCTCTATTTTTATAAATACAGGTTTAAAATAGAATTGTATTTGTATTTATTTAGATTCCTTACTAACTTCCAAGCAAAAATATTTGTGTTTTTTTTTTTATTTGAGAAGGAAAGCAGACATTTATAAAAAAAAAATAAATGCTAAGATAATAAAGATTTTACATAATAAGTAGAGCCAAGGTTAGAGCTATATATAGTTATATAATGTCATATTATGCCTCAGTGGAAATCATCATACCGGGTAATAGTAATAAACCCCAATCTACAGTAAATCTAAGGTTGGAATAAACAAACTTTAATGCTTGAACTAGGATACTTAACTTCAAGTCAGCAACTGACAGAAAAATTAAACAACAAAGTCACTTAATAGAATAACGCTGTAGTGCCAAGAAAGCCATTATTACAGCTAAGAGCCATTCATGTCACATGGTATTGTTTGGTGGTGTTCATGTCACTTGTAGAAAGGTTCTGTTTCTGTACCTTCTCCCAAATGCTCTACTTCTCCTGAAGCACCAGCAGAAGTCATGTCATTACCATCACCACCTTTGAATGGCAAACAAAAATCCAGCGGCTTTTTTTTGCCTCTCTCCCTCTCTACGCCGTCTTTCCTCTCTCTTTTACCACATTCTAAGACCGGGTCCATTGCTTCTTATCCTCACTTGCACCCCTCACTAGATACACACATCACAGCGGCAGCTGGCACCAGACACATGTCACACACCTCTTCCTCCACACGCTGCTGTCTGTGTGGTTGATACGGACTGTTGGGGCAGTAGTTAAATGAAATAAACAAATTGTCTTTCCCTCTTCAAATGCTACTGGCCAAAGTGGCCTGGTCTGTCCCTCTCTCTGACAGGAACCCGCTGCTCCGGCAGACTTTAAAGTAAAGAAGAAAAAAAAAGGGAGAGACGGAGGGCCAGCAGGCCAATCCCAGGCCGGCGCTTCGGGAATACTCCCAATTCTCCCTATGGCCAGTCCGGGTACGAGTCCAACCCTGGATACAGTTCCAGTGATGAGTGAAGATATATATATATATATATATATATATATATATTAACCAACCCTAGAATGATAGTTAGTGACAGTTCAAGTGTGAATGTCTTTAATGTAATATTTTTTACAGGATTTTTCCCAAAAAAGTCAAATAAATACTGCATAGAACATGTTGCCCAAGAAGTTGGAGTTCCAACAGTCCATGAATACAACATGGAATGGGACATATCTCAAGTGCTGCTGCAAGCTGAGAATCATGTTTTCCCACCCACTCCAGTCAGATTGGAGTAAAAATTTGAATGTGAAAAAAAAAAAATATTTGAAAGTGTAAAAAAAAAAATCCTGAATCTGAAAAGGGAATTTTAAACTAAAAAGAAAAGGGTTTGAATCTGAAAATATAAAATCTAAAAGTGCAATAAAGAAAACATTTTGACCGCTTTCTGACTGCGCACTTTTTTTTCTTTTTAGTCTTTTTGTTTTGTCCCTAAAAACTGGTCCTGAAAAGAGGGGGTTTTATAATCAAGGTCGCCTATATTCGGGTCATTACGGTATATACTTCCACAGTTTGCCTAGTGGCAGTGGTAATGTTAAATGACGTAGTGTTGGGGATGTGCTCTCTGTACGCACGTCTTTCTATGTGCGTATGAGGAACAGACAGCAGAGCAACTAAGGGACAGAGGGGAGACTTACCAAAATAAAAGATGAAAGGACATGACGGAAATGTAACTGTGGTCCAAACATTTACACTCATTGTGGCGAATGGTGCTCTGGCATTAACTCACCAAATATAAATTCAATCGCAATTTATGAGTACTGATTGTTAATTTCAGGCCCTGCCGAAAACAGGCAAGCTTCATCTCATATCAGAGGTCCGATTGTTCAGCTCCACATTGCGTGCCTTGCTCTCAATCTGCAGGTTTACTAGTGGTTCCTAGAATTTCTAAAAGTAGAATTGGAGGCAGAGCAATTATTCATTAGGCTCCTCTTCTGTGGAACCAATTATCAGTCTTAGTCCATGAGGCAGACACCCTGTCTACTTTTAAGGCTAGACTTAAAACCTTCCTTTTTGATAACCCCCACATTTAGAGTGGCTCAGGTTATCCAAAGCTACTTTCTGTAGTTATGCTTAGACTGCTGGATGACATAGGGACCACATTTCATAATTCAGCTTCCTTCTTTCTCTATTCTCCCATTCTGCAGTAATTGTTAGTTCCTGTATAGATTGCATAACTTTTGTCCATATAGCTTTTTTCTTTCTGTTAGTTCAACCCCTAACTTTTTGCTCTACCTGCTTTTCCCGTCAGTAGTTTTCATCTGGTCTGTACAATGTTTGGCAGTGGCAACATCCTGGAGAAATATTAGCAGTTCTACTCCCATCAATCTTTGTTTATAGACGCTGAAGTGTAGTGTTGTTTCTTTTACTGTGACTTACTGCATGTGCTCTTTTTAATCCTTTGACATGGGAGCTCATCTCTTTGGCTTTGTCTTTCCTGGATGGGCCACCAGTGGAGCTAATAAACAGTTACATCTTGTATTTGACTTTTTTTCTGTCTGCTTCTCTCTCTTTAAACCCCAGTCACCCTCGGCAGATGGCTGCTCACAATGGGCCTGGTTCTAATGGAGGTTTTTTCCTGTCAACACTGAGTTTTTCCTCTCCAATTTCACTACATATATGCTAGATGTGAGGGATTGCTGTCGAGTCAATGAATTAATGCAGTAAGCTGGGGTATTTTTGGATAGAAAACTTTTAGCCAGTCTGACTGTATGGTCTGTTTGAATTTTCCCTGTAAAATGACTTGATCTGACGTGTGGTAAACTGACAACAAAATTGTATTTAAGGTTAGGTTTGTGTGTTTGTGCTTCTTTAAAGGTTTCTGAACAATATGTATACACATTTATGCTTATGTGTGAGCCAATCTTCAAGCTCATTTCCTATTAAGCAGAAAAAGCCACATGCTCTACTGCATGAGCTGCGAATTAGCTTTGTGTCTGACTAAAGTTCTTCGCTCCAGTCTTTTTCTCTTTTCCTTTTTAATCAGTTCATAAATGTGCAATAACATAATATGGTTGTCAACACTGTTAAAGTACTGTAGGAGCAGCTTCCTTTCACATCAAACACAGGACAAAGGAAGGGTACTTCTCTAAGAAGGAAGTCCACCACCTATACGATCATAAAACCTCCAACCAGAAAAAAAGCTTTAATGTGCTCAAGCTATCACTTCCTACAGACAAATCTCTAAACTCTACATTTGAGAAACTCACTGTGGGTGCACTGATAAATGTGACTCCCCCTGTTTCACTTGAATCCCCTTATTCCCCCTCATCAAATTCTCTTCTCCTCTGGAATATTCCACCTTCCTTTGTTCTTTCTCCTCATCATAAGGCCACTTGCTTACCTGACCTTACTCTCATTTTTCCACTTTTTTCACTCATTTAATTTTCCAGTTTTTCATCTCCATTTTTATCTTTTCTTCCAACTCAATGCACTACTTTTTCTAATCTTTGTTCTTGTCTTTCTCCCTTATGTTTATCTTGCCCTGTCGCTCTCACTTGTTGTCAGCTCTTTAGGGGAGTTGAAAAGGTGTGAGGAGGGAAATAAGTCCAAGTCAAAAAACGCCTTTAGGGGATGAAGGCAGGCCCCGACAAGTGTCTGCCTCTCAGAGGATAGTTAAGACGCTCTGACAGACACTTTCATGATGGCTGATTGAAGACTGGCAAGCGCATAAGAGCACAAGAAAGGGTTCTGGAGCGAATATGAAAAAAAGGAAAGAGAAAAGAGACAGGAGGGAGAAAATGAACAGTCAGAGCAAAGAGAGGGAGCTTGAGGGAGAGACCCTCTTTAAGAATCTCTGAGCCAGAGCTGCAAGGCTCTTGGGGAGATGTGAGGGACTTGTCAGGATTGATGTAAATGAATCCTGAAGTACTTCATCTTTCTTAGCCACCACGCACCCTTTGAAAATCTCCTTTGTTAGCTTTCACAAACACTTTCCTCCCATTTTTTTGTCTTTTCTTCTGTCCAGCATTTTTTAACTAAAATTCTCAGTTTAGTTTGGCCTTTTTTTTCTGGAATAAAGAAGCTGTTTAAATAATGCAGTCAATTAAGTCTTATTAGTACTGTCTCAAATTAGTCAACAAAACATCAGAAAGTTTTTAATAGGGATCACATAAACCAACCAAAGAGTATCTAGTACAAAGAGATTTAAAAAAAGACATGAAACAAAAACAGTGCTAAACTTGTTTAACTGAGAAGTCAACACCAGACATTTCAAGCATTAACTGATCAGTATCAAGTCAAATAC